TAAACGTGACAGGATCGTTGTGTTGACATGTTAAACGTGACAGGATCTGTGCTTCAGTTTATTTTGTTAGTCATGAATGAGTTGTCAGTGATGCCCAGTAACTAATATAAGTTTAATATCATACATGGTCACACAGAATGTACAAACTTCGTTGGTAATGTAAGCGGTGTAACAGGATTCATATTATTTCCATCAGTTCTTTTAGATGAACAGGTAACAACTCGGCTGTGTGCTGGTTACAAACACAAACTGCTGTGAATGAACAATTTATTTACCGTTTATTAAAGTAACACTTTATTTCTCTCATTGTGGTGACCTTTCCCTGTCTCTGCCATAAATAGGAACATATATTCAGTATTTGTATTTCTGTCTGACCTCATGTTCATTAGTTCCACTGCTGCTGTTTTCACAGTAACTCTTCCAAAGAACCTGCAGATTTTTCCAGCGTCGCCCTCCAAGCCCAGCAGACGGTCCATGCAGTCACCCTACAGACTCCTCAGCCCTCTGCCCTCTCTGCCCGTCAGGAAGGGGGTAAGAGGCCGCCGGCCCAAGAGCGAGACCCTGGCTCTCCTTAAAGCTGTGGCAGAGGCAGCAGCCGCCCACAACGGGACTGTCCCCGACAACACTCAGCTCGTACCCCGGGTCCACAAGAAGAGGGGGCCCAAACCTGGAAGCAAGGTGACGCTCGGCTAAACTAACTGAAGCTTACGTTACATATCTATGTTATGTATTACAGGAGCGAATCTCTGTGTCTGCCGCTTCGATTCAAAATCTATTTTTTTATTTATTTTTTCCCCCGATTCAAAAACGATTTTTGATTCAGAAATGATTTTTCTATTGAAACGGTCATAAATTTTGTTTCAGTTATGTAACTGACAAGATGAAAATTTTAAACAATGCAAACAAATAGAACATTTATTTAATGCAATAATTTTAGGTTCTTTACTGTATCAAATATTTTGCATCATTTTATATTTATACCAAAAATAGGAACAAGTACAGGAGTGCATAACATTCTGTAACTTAAATTACCAGGATCAGGTTAGCTGCCTGGATTTTTCTAAAATAAAAAAATCTAGGAACAAATAATTCATCCATCCATCATGTTTATCCACTTCTTCCTTGACGAGTCACTGGTGTCACTGGTGTCACTGGTGCCCATGTCAGCCATCACTGTGTGAGAGGCGGGGACACCTGGACAGGTCTCCAGTCCATCACAGACAAATAATTCAAAATATATAAATATAAAAGTAAACAGATTTCAGCCTACATTACATTAACCTTTAACTCAACATAAAATACAGACTTCAGTTATTTTTAACCATATTGCTCTAACATTTGTTATATTTTTAAAACTTAACCTAATATGAAATATACAGACTTCAGTTTTAACCATATTGATTCATATTTAGTAAATATTTAACTAAATTTAAAAACCTGTGGAAACCTGCACAAAACCTCTTCTGAACTGTAATTTATAAACTGTATCATTTGGAACTGGCTCCAGGTGATGTGTCTCATCTCTTCCACCTGTTAAAAAGACAAATTACATAAAGTTTGTTGAACAACTTGTCTATAAGTTTTAGTTGAATGTGAGAAATAACAGTTACCTTTGAGCTGCAGCTGCATCAGAGCTTCTAACATTTTGTTTCATGAAGTAGTTGTGGAGCTGCTTTATCGCAAAATAAAAATCTACATGAAGGAATAACGTTCGTTGAATCCATCGTATTAAAATAAAGCTGAACCCGTCACCTTCACTGAGCTGTCTGATCTTAAATCCTTTGTGATGCAGCAGGAGATGGAGGGAACTCTTCACAGCCTTTGGAGAATCAGCTGGAAGTTTGTTGCAGAGTTCACTGGTCGGCTGCTTCACTTTCATCTTCCGTGAATTGTGTCGTCTTTCCAAAATACTGTACCGCAATTTTATTTTACACTTCTTGTAAACAACTGTGTTCTTGTGAAGCTCTGTCTTCCCCGGAACATTGTAGGATCTGAAATGATGTTTAAAGACAAAGCAGCGGGTTGAATCGCGCTGTCTCCCTCCTCCATGCTGGCAGGCTCCGTTCAGATAAAGGGAGCTGGCTAACTAGCTGCTGTACGGTGGCCTACACGGCTCAATTCTACGGTCGAGCGGACACATAATGCAATATGCAGTATGCTCGGGAGTAAGAGAGGAAAAAAATAAAAGTTAAACGAATTTTAAAATCGATTTGTGGGTCTTTAGAATCGATGCAGAATTGCCAGAACTAAGAATCTAGATCCTTTTAAAACATCTGTTTTTTCTGCACCCCTGGGTGCATGTATGCATGCAATTTTTGCATTTGTTTATTTTTTCTTATAGAGAAAGCCAAAAATTCTGCAAAGCCCAACACAGCTGCCAAGCATCCAGGTTCCACAAGAAAGCCCCCCCAGCCACAGCTCAGTGGTTTCAACAGGTCAGGTCATAAGCAGGCTAACTGGTTCGCTGCTGCACCTTGAGCTCTGATCTTCAGACTGCCTTCAGATGGTCACTATGCTGAATGTTTGTGTCGTCCTTCAGTGTGCGTGTATGTGAACAAGCATGGAAACTGTGGTCCCCACTTGGACAGGAAGCATATGCAGCATCTGCCTGACCACTTTGGCCCTGGGCCAGTGAACACTGTGCTCCAGCAAGTGGTTCAGTCCTGTATAAACTGCGCCTATCAGCCAAAAGTGCTGCTCAACGCTGTACAGAGCGACTCAGGAGGAGGGGAAACTGTCAAAGGTACAAACACAAACCCCACTCCTCCTAACCTCCGGCTGCTTTATGAGCCGTTACAAGACGATTCAGAAGACGTTCAATTCTGTTTTCTTCCAGTGAGAACAAGTGCTGGTGTCCGTGTGATCAGACTGCCGTCAGCCTCCAGTCCTTCTTTTGTGCTGCGGTTCTTGGAGACGATGTGTCGTCATCTTCAGTGTGACAATCTGTTCAGCAGCCAGCCGTTCAGCCGCTACACGTCATACGACAGACACAAGTCAGGTAAAGTCTGCCTCGCCTGCGAGTGCACGATGTGGAACAGAAAAACAAACTGCACTTCTCGGCTGCAAAAAGTGAAGGGGATTTGAAAGTTTGTTGTCCGTCCTGTGTTCCAGTGAAAGAGGAAGCGCTTGATGCTCCGTCTCTTGCCCGGGGCAGTAAACACAGCCTCTCAGGAGTCTTTCCTCCACACGCAGCTCCTCTGTCTCCTAAACATTTATGTGCTGAGGCTCACCCGTCAGAAGGTACACTGCACAACAAACACTGTTCTCATGCTAGCGACGCACTTCACACAGACACACAAACCTTGTACACGATTGTGATCAGAAGTTGCAGAACAAAGCAGTGAGCTGTAAAAGGACCGATTCTCAGCTGCACCCTCACGTGGTTGTTAACAGTTGTGCATCGATGCAACAGCGGCACAGCATTGAGAGCTTGCACGGTGGTGCAGCTGGTAGAGCTGCTGCCTCTCAGTGCGCAGGTCCCTGGTTCAAACCCCGGTCCTGGAGACTTTCTGGGTGGAGTTTGCATGTTCTCTCCGTGCTGCGTGGGTTTTCTCCAGGTACTCCAGTTTCCTCCCACAGTCCAAAAACATGCATGTTAGGCTGATTTCTAACTCTAAATTGTCCCTAGGTGAGTGAGACAGTGAATGGTTGTTTGTCTCGTTTGTCTCATTGTGTCCCTGTGATGGACTGGAGACCTGTCCAGGGTGTCCCCCGTCCCTCGCACAGTGATTGCTGGACATGGGCACCGGCGACCCCCCTGACCCAAAATGGAGGAAGCGTGTAAAAGATGATGGATGGTGTTGACATCCTTTGATACGTGGTGTAGAAGGCTGCGGCTGACTGCCCACAGCAAGCTGTTCATGTTGGACCAAACATGAAGCTAGAGTACGGTCATGCAGCTCCACCAGTTTGCCAACGCACAGAGCTCAGTAACGAGTGATGAGTGGACTGAACAGTGTTAAAATCTCTGATCATTGTATTTTAAAACTGAAACGTGCACTTTGTAAAAGTTCCCTCACAAATTCACATACAGTAGTCACTGGCATCTGTACCCTGAACACCCGTGATAAGTGAAAAACCATAAAGTAGGAATAATAGTACAAGTAGTAAGTAGTAGTTTATTTTAGTATTTAAAAAAATATATATATATAAAGGTGTTTTAAACCCTTCCCACACTCTTGCAATATTCTAAACACTGTATCTAAACTCTAAAAGCTCTAAAAGAGCACAGCATGTCATGATGTCAGCTCCCTGCCTCCTCTGCTCTGTGCCACCTGCAAGCGCTCTTAGCCACGCCCACTTCTCAGCTCTGCATGGTGAACAGCTGATCAGCTGCAGCAGGAAGTTTAATCTGCTGTGTGGGCTGCACAGAGGTGCAGCAGGTGCTAAATACTTTAAAATAATTTATTTTAAATAAAAATACATGTCAACTGTGCAGCTCATGCATCAGTCAGTTATTGTGTGTAGTGTCCAGTCTTATTTTGAAAAACTTCTATAGAGCGAGTCCGCAATAAAGGAAACGCGAAGTAGCGAGGGACTACAGTACTTTGATAATATAGGTAAGTCCAAGATGTAGGAGAGTAGTTTTTAATCTAATGTAATGTTTGTAAAGGCATGATTGTTCTTTTGTAAAGTGTCAGACCTCAGGGCTGTGGTCTAATCTCCCATTAGAAACCACTTTATTTAGTTTTGCTCTGGATCAAACCATAGAGGGCACTTTGTTAGTAAAGCACGCCAGTAACAGCATGGTACCTGAAGTTGGTGTGGTTTTAGGTTTGACCCCGATATCTTTCACATCCGGTCTGCAAACAATAAACACTGACATGTAGGTGCTCTGCCATATTGATTCAAGCAGCAAGGCATCAGTGACACATATGCTGCTGTTTGAAGAGAAGACTGCAGCTGTGTCCTCACATCTGGCAGGGAACAATGTCTGCAGCTCATGGAGATCACAAAGCTCACTGCTTGTGTCCTGCACACATTGTGTCTTATAAAACGACATGCACGATGATTTTAATCACAGCTGTATTTCACATAATGACATCTTAATGTTTCCCCCCTCCAGCAGAGACTCTGCCACATGAAGAGAACAGTCTGATGAAGGAGCAGCGCTACATGGACTCTGCTTCCAATTCCATGACCCCTCGACCCCAGACTGTTCGCAGTGTCTCTGACTTCCACTGTCAGGCCAGAAGCCTTTACCACCTTGGTGGCAGCACATCATTGCACCGCCATTCCTCCACCTCGGCAGAGCTGAGCTCAACGCAGCCCCTCAGGCGAGTCGAAGGTACAGGAAGCTTCAGTGTTAGGAGAAGACATTGTTTTCATTCAACCTTTATTTATAGAGGCTAGCTCCATCGAGCCACAGGGACTCATTTACAAGAGGGACCTGTTCCAGACAGAACATATAAAGTACAGACAAGAATAAACGGCAGTAAAAATGCAGTTAAATAAGAGTAAGTGTACAAAACAATAAGTCAGGGTGCCGTAAAACAAGGGACAATACTAAAAACAAGGACATATATGTTCATTCATTGACCTTTATTTAGACAGGTTAATCCCATTGAGCCTCCAGGACTCATTTACAAGAGAGACCTGATTTAACAAACAATCATGACAACAATGGACAGTTATAAAAGTCATACAGATTTATTTTCTTTACAAATAAGATGACCAAAACAAGTAACAAGAAACAGCTAGATTATGAGGTGAATGTAGAAAACTAAAAACAGGACTGTATTGAAATGTTCATATGTATTGAAATAACACATGAGTCTGCAGCAAAGCTTCATTGAAGGATCTTTGTGCTTTGGCAGCAGCCAGCTCCACCACAGGTCCAGAGTCTGTGGCCTTAGATCGGGACAGTTCACACCTGCTCAGCAAAAACCCCTCCTCCTGGTCCATCGAAGAGGTCATGCAGTTTGTTAGGGATGCAGACCCCACAGCGTTAGCACCGCACGCAGAACTTTTCAGAAAACATGTAAGTTGACTTGCAGATTACAAATTTGGAATGTGTAATGTTTGTTTTGACCTCTCATATAGGCCTGTCGCCATAAATCAATTAATCGCATGATAAAAATTACTGACCTCATTTTCATTTAGCGGCTTCATCGTTTCTTCATGTCTCGCTCTTTCTACACTGGATGACAACAAGCTCTTCACTGACCCCTTCCTTTCTCTTTAAAATCTGTTTTAACATCCAAAATCATGTTTTTGGATCGTTAAAAGCAGCTAAGCTACGAGCTAAGCTAACAGGCTGACCTCGGGGAAAAAACCTCTGTCTTGTCAAAGCTTCAAAATTCACGGATGAAACCCGTGCCATTGTCTAAAAAGTTGTTTTTCTCTGCAAAAAGAAGCTGAGAACTTGTTTACTGATTGTTTTAATTAAAAGCTTTGTGTGACAAATGCTAAAGAGCTCAAACCACACCGAGCGGCCGCCATTTTGAGAACCGAAAACAGGAAGGAGAGCCAGCCCATGTCACGTCAACGGGCCTCCCTCCAATTTTTCTTAACCTCCAAAGACCTGGACTCTTGCATATGTGGATGCCAGGTCCTAGGAGGTTAAAAGAGGCACGCTGCTCGCTCCCTCACTATCCATCCTTCTGTTCAAACCGTCTTATACTGCCATCCAGTGGTCAAAAAAGGTACTAAACACAAAACAAATGAACCAACATTTCTTCTTATATTTGACAATAATTACTAATTATTGTCAAATTTCAAACAATATTATCATTCATCACAATAATTTCTGAGACAATCGCCCAGCAGAATGTGTTATCGTGACAGGCCCACTTCTCATACAGAGAGCCAGAATCACTACGTATCTATGTTTTTATGTCAAGTGCCAGTTGTTGTTGCTGCACAGTCGAAATATTCAAGGATTCTAGGTTATTTGTTATTCGCACCTCATGTGGTACATGTGGTGGAATGAAATTATGTACACAAGGTCCCAGTTACATCCAACAATAAAATGTATAATAAAAACAGAAATAACATCTAAGATATGAACTAAGAAAAACATCAACTAAATATACACTAAGCACTCATAACATAAAACATTGAACATCAGCACAAACATGAACATGAGTCTGTGAGCAGATGTGCACGCATGAACACATCAGCAGCAACATGAAACAGATCAGCAGCAACATGAAACAGATCAGCAGCAACATGATATGGTTTTTCACAGTGATTATTCTAGTTAGAGATTCATGAGTCTAACAGCCTCAGGGTAGAAGCTGTTCCTCAGTCTAGTGGTTCTACACTTAATGCTCCTTAACCTCCTTCCTGGGGGGAGTGGGGCAAAAAGTGTATGTGTTGGGTGAGTGTGGTCCTTCATGATGCAGGTGGCCCTCTTCCTGCATCTGGAGGTGTAGATGTCTGTGATGGTGGGGAGACTGACTCCAACATCTTCTGTGCAGCCTTCACCACTCTCTGCAAAGCTTTTCTTTCTGCAGCTGTGCAGCCTCCATGCCACACGTTGATGCTGGAGCACAGGATGCTCTCCACTGCACACCTGTAGAAGGAGGTGAGGACTGAGCTTCCCAGACCAGCTCGTCTCAGCCGTCTGAGGAAGTAGAGTCTCTGATGAGCTTTCTTCATCAGGCTGGTGGTGTTGTTGCTCCAGCTGAGGTTGTCATTCATGTGTACACCCAAGTACTTGTAGCTGGAGACCACTTCCACCACAGATCCTCTTAGGTTCAGGGGGGTGTAGATGTTTTTGTTCCTTCTGAAGTCCACAATCATCTCCTTTGTCTTCTTCACATTGATGTGAAGGTTATTCTCTCTGCACCAGCTCTCCAGATGTTCCACCTCTTGCCTGTAGCTGGACTCATCATTGTTTGTGATGCATCCCACCACCACTGTATCATCTGCAAACTTTACAATGTGACAGCCTGGATGGGTAGCTGCACAATCATATGTGAGCAGAGTAAACAGGAGGGGGCTCAACACACATCCCTGAGGAGAGCCAGTGCTGAGGGTTATGGTGGAGGAGGAGAGGTTGTGGATCCTCACTAACTGTGGTCTGTTTGTTAAAAAGTCTAGTACCCAGTTGCAGATGGAGGGGCTTAGTCCTAGTGTGGATAGTTTGTCCATCAGGGTTTGGGGGATCATGGTGGTGAAGGCGGATGTGAAGTCCACAAAGAGCATACGGACGTAAGAGTCTTTCTGCTCCAGGTGAATATTAAATATCATTAAATTTGAATATTAAATGTCATGAACAGCAAGTCCAAAAGTGACAGAGAAGAAGGAAAATGTGTTAATTACATTAATCTTCAGGTTAATTTTTGGATTTTCACCAAAAATTTTCCAAACGAATCAAATGTATTTTTTATTTTTTTATAATGTGACCATCACAAAAAAATAGAAAATACATTATTCAGCAAACGATTTGTAAACAGTCTTTGCCCTTTTAAACAAAATATGTATGTAACTAAAAAAGTGTAGAAGTGAGTTCAGAGGTCAAAATAATCAAAGGGTTTCAACTAAATCAATAATGCAATCAGAATAATGTACATGGACTGTACTTACAAACACAACCTGTGCCCGTTCATACAGCACTCTACTGAAGACTCATCAGAGCTTCATCACATTCATGCACTGATGGGACACATCACAGGCAGTGAGGGGTCAGTGTCTTGCCCAGGGACACTTCAGCATGTGACTGCTGCTGGATTCAAACCCCCACTCTCCCATTGGAGGGCGACTGCTCGAACCACTCAGCTACAGCCGCCTCTTCAATGGACACTTGATAAAAGGCTTAAGAGTGCAGTGCAGCACTGTGATGTACCAAACAATGATTTAGGAGCACGTGTTTCTGTGGAAGAGCTTTGTACATTTCAAACATCCACAACATCTGAAATCATGTCGTCTGTTGAGCGTTCAAGACAAGTGTGCACATTTCTGACCACGTGATGCGTTTGCTTTTTGGTTTCCACAGGAGATCGATGGAAAAGCCTTGATGCTCCTCCGGAGCGACATGATAATGAAGTACATGGGTCTGAAACTAGGACCTGCTCTGAAGCTGTGCCACCACATCGAGCGGCTCAAACAGGGCAAACTGTAACGAGTCCGGACCCTGGCTAACCCCGAGCAGCACCACAGTCCAGGGCCACGTAGGAACCCCACAGGCTCAAACTGCAGCTACGTCAGAAAGTGTGCTGTGCGTTGCTGACACGTTACCTCGCCCGTTAGTGCAGAAACAAGTGTTCAGGTGTATGACACAACACAGACTTTGAGAACGCCCAAAGCAGTGTTTACATTGCATAACACGTGCACACACACACACACACACTTCATTTGTTTTTGTATGGACATGAAAAGTTTAGATCCTGGTTTTGGATCCCCAAAGATGGAGAATGTTTCTTCTTATATAATGTTTTTAATATTATTACATTTCTACTTAATAAGGAAGGATAAGTATTCTGAGAAAAACATACAAAAACTTCAAACGTTCTTTTCTCGTCTGTTTCTGTGTAGTTTTTAACTTTGTCTTCCTGAACGCTATCGGAGCGTTCAGCTGTTTCCCCACACATGAAGCATTTTGCTTCGCTGTGTCGTTGCCTGGGATCACTCGAGTCCTGTTTTTAAACTGAACAGTCTTTTCCTGGAGTGTCCTGCACATCACTACCTGCTGTGAGTCTTTATAATGATTGTGTCCCAGCAGCTCGCTCCTGTTTGTTCTCCGTGCAGTTTCAACGGGGTCGACTCGCACCAGTTAAGGGTTGATCACTCTCAATCAACTGAATGTTTAGGATGACACATCACACATTTCCAAGGGCTTCCTCTTTACTTTGGATCATGTTTTAAATGTAAGTTCACCCTGGGACTGCCTGAGGCTTGTGTTGTCACTACTGACCGCTACAATCACCGTTGGCAACAAATACTCGTTTCATGGGTTGAACCATAAATATCAGCTGCAGAATGTACATTTTGTAGAATCAATATTTTAAGGAAATCACATGCGTAAGATAGAAATGTGAAGCTAAAAGGGTGAATATTTAACAATGGTCTCTTTAATACCCAGTGTAGTGCTGAACTTCCTTACCTTCAAACATTTCTCAGGTCTGTGGTCGTCGTTAGAAGTTTTTGTAGCATCATTTTTATAAAATAGACATTTTCTGGTCTCCCTCCCAACTCTTACTTCATTTTTCCAACTTTGTGCCATATTCACCACAGGATCAAAGTGCTGTTGCATCTTCTTTTACAAGTACTGTGCTTGAAAATATGTTCTGCAAAACGTTGCTTGTCCCGTTGTGTCGCATCAGATAAAGGATGCTCATCATGTTGTGTAAAGTTATTTTGTTCTTATAAAATATCTCAAGCAAGAATGCAAATGTGCTGTGTTTGTGTGGGAAATTATTTTAAAGGAGGAAAATATTCCAGATTTTCTTTGGCGTGTAAAACTAGAGGTTGGGTGTAAAATGTGCACAGTGGGTAAACCCTCCGACGGGAAATTCATCGTGAAATTAAAAAAATAAATTCTTCCATTTCCTGAAAGAAAAGCTCTTCAGCATCACTTCAGTAGAAATGAACATTAGTTCGAGTAAAAACACCACAACATGCATTCTCATCGAAAGGATCAAAATCCAACAACAATTTTTGAGAATCACATAAAATTAAAACATTTCTTTCCCGTCGGCCTCTAAATTATTTATTGGAAATTTACGCCCCCACAAACAAACAAACAAACAACATGTATCCAGGCTGTTTACGTGTTTGTTTGCTGGTAAACAACGATCCTAATGTGCAGACTGACCAGAGGTCAGCAGCTGTAGAGAATTCACCATAAAAACATGAGGATCAAAGAACAAGTTGTTGTTTTTATTACAAGTGTCATGAATAAATAAATAGTTCAAAACAAAATCAAACTTTAATCACAGGCTAAACTATGAGAAACACACACACGTGCACATTGCTGCTGTTTTCATGTGCACTGCTGTTGGAGGGACACGTGCTCGTCCCTCAGTGTCCCCGACAGGACACGTCTTACTGCAGGACACGTGGTCGTCCCT